TCCAGGTTTGTGAAATTGAGAGGAAAATGCTACTTTATCAAAGATGAAGTTCTTGTATTAAGCACTGACTGCTATTTAAGGTGTTATGTCTGATATCTCGGACATGTATGTACAGATAGATGTAGATGTAGAAGTAGATAGAGATAGAGAGATAGATTAGGTTGACAGATATAAATATCTAAATATTTTTGTGTAGGGGGTATACCTTAACCCAATGTTGCCAGAAGCTTCACACTCCAATTTAGACTACATGGTAGCCGCTGCACACTTTCAGCTACTTGAGGGAAAAATCAGAAGCATGAGAAATAAATTTTTTTCATCTTATACGAGTTTGGCTGCAGTATATACATTTGTCCAGTGAACAAGATTAAAAAGGGAAATTAGGGTTATAGGTCTTCAATCACTGCAGTAATAGTCAAACAAGGGAACAAATTTTTAAGGTGTAAATGCCACTTGGAAGTGAAACCACTCATGTCACATAATTGGACACACATGCCACACATCTTTAAATCCATTTTCTCTTTACAGGAGTCAGTTGTGTTTGTTGTAGGCGGTGGCAACTACATGGAGTACAATAACCTTGTTAATTATGCCAAGAAGAAAGCTGGTGCTACAAACAAAAAGATTATCTACGGTTGCACTGATGTTGTCAATGCTGAACAGTTTCTTAATCAGGTAACATTAATTCTTTTTCCTTTCTGTTAAAACTGCTATTCACTTGTTACTGTTGAACTTCATCACCATCTAAACCGAGTACCAACACCGCATGTTGCAAAATAAGTTGTCTTTTACCACGTTCAGTTTGTCAGCTTTTCATCTGTTTTTTATTTCATGAAAGATCCATATCAGTATGCATTCTTCTAATATATATTACCAAGGCAAAAATAAAGGTATTAGTGCTGCTTTACTGTTTATAAAACTTATGTTTTCTGTTTCAGCTCTCCAAACTTGGTAATGACATTTCCTGAAAAGAAGACTTTGGAAGCCAGTCTTTCTCATATACTATTTTAGGACGTGATTTATAATGCTCGGAGAGGGAGAAGAGTTGTCGTCATGGCACATTTATTGGTTTATTTTAGGAATTATATTTATTTTATATGGAGATATTTCTATTGTTTTGCAGTTTGTATTATAAACCGATATTAAACAATATAATACTGTATTTAAGCCCCAGTGATGTTATGAAAAGCCTTTGAGAATTTTATACTGTTTAGGAGAATAGTTATATAGCTATTCACACTTTATTGCTTTATTGCAAGTGAATGTGCGATAGTTGTCATTCATTACGATAGGTTAAGATAGGTATATACCCTGAGCACACAAGCCATAATACCTGTTTATGGGGAGTTAATAGAACAAAGGGATCAATCTTCCTCCCTGTGTATGCATTCTGATTGGTGCTGATTTAATGTTTGGGAATGAGTGATGAACAGCAGTATTTATATCTATCAAAACAGGAAACAGAGTGACAGGGTGAAAGATGTAGTGCAAATTATTTGATTTGTATTAATTTGGTGACCATGTACGGAAAAAAAATAAGTTGGCATTTAGGTTCCTCGTTTATAATTAGCTACATTATTTTGGTCTTTGATTATACGTAAACTGCACTGATATAATTATTTCTTCAGTATCATCAGTGGGTATTATGGCTTTGGTCTCTGAATGTTCTTGCAGTAGAAAAAGGGAAGTTGCAAGTAATATGCTTCTGAAGGGTAATGCAGTTTTCATTTTCCTCTTCAAATTATAAGAGATTAAATATATTACTCTTGAGATATTACAGTAGTATGTAAAAAGGTACACCTAAGTAAAACAGTTATTAAAATATTTCATAACTTTTCTTACCCTTTTGTTGGATTAGAAATCAGAAATCTTGTTAACCCCTTGGTGCCGGGTTACGCCGATCGGCGTGTACAGTTATTAAAATATTATGTTTATTTATGTTAACATTTACCAACAGAACTAGTATTTAAGTTGCATACAACTGAAGAATGCACTATGGTACTTTTTATTTTTAGTTCTCTTTATTTCGGGTGGTACAATACGAAATGAAGGTTTACCTAAGATATATGAAATCAGGTACATATCAGTTAATGTTTATATACATGAATGATTAAGGCTGAAAGAATTATACCACAGAGACTGTGTGATTGCTTTAATATAGTACAATTGAAGGAGGTGAGATGAACAAAACAACTTGCTTAAATGCTATTTAAAAACTCAGGTTTCATAAGCATTTTGATCTGATTCCGTCACTGTTACATAAGACAATGTACAGGACAGAAAAAAAGGAAAGGGGAGATAGATTGCTTGTGTAGTGAAGAAAAATATCAATTGTCATATTTGTTTTTGGCTTTTATTGTTTCAAATCTTTGTCCATTACTGTTTTTACAGCAATTTCATTTCAAAGCTCTGTTCACCAGCTCAATAACCATAGTCTGATCACACATGATTGGTTTTCATAATGTCTGTATATCTTTCACAGCAAAAGCAGATATTTACAGCAATGTCATAGTTACCAGCTACTGAAGTATTGATGGTTTCATGCTGACCATATCCTTGAATGATCTTAAATACCCAAAGCATTCAAGAGAATGTTGCACATTTTCAGAATTCATTTCAGTGGTTCTTGCAGTAAATAATGGTCCATGGTTAAAACAAATATATATGTTAAGACATCAAGGATCATATAGCACTATGGTAAAGTATTGTGTCAAAAAGGGGAAAAATAAGTTAACAATTAGGATAAGTGGACCGAAGATGAAGAAGAGAAGGAAAAAGGAAAGAGAGCGAAGAAAAAAACATGCAAAATCAGTTGAGGGGAAGGCTGTTGAGGGCCAATAAGCAAGTGATTAACACAAAAAATCACCCTAGGTTTATACTGTATCTGACTAACTCCAGCAAGAACGCTTCAGTTCAAGTCTTGGTAGTCATGAGGGTAATGAAGCAATGAAAGTTACTGTTAAAGTCAGTCTCATTTTTCTTTATTTTGGTTGGAATTATTTTCCACTTATTTACAAACTTGATGGAATCTCAAATTGGATGCTGGGAACTTACAGGTTACAGTTACAAAGTTACAAACATGTTTTTAGATTGGATAATTTTTAGATAATTTTAAATTTTTTATTCCAAGATTTTCCATAACTGATGCAAACAGACACTTTCCAATGATATTTAAGGCCTGAAGAAAAAGCAAAATTAAAGTACAAAAATTTCCCAGTAACCCTTTCAAAGTCATCTACTATGCATGATGCAGCACTTACAGAAATTAACACAACCATAGGCCAAGACTTCTATAATGATAGTATTTATAAGATATATATAAAGAAGAGTAAGACAAGCATTCTGTATTTATAGTAGCAGGATTTCTCAATCATGTTAACTTTTACCCACAAAATAAAATTATTTCTCTGTCTTGTGTCTGTGGCAAGACAGAGTTTTTAAAAACCGACTGACATCCAGAATTTGAATAGTTTTTGTAGACAGGGAGTATAAGCAGTTTCTTGAAGAGAAAACTGAAATTCAAATTATTGTGCCAAAAATGAAACTATAATGATTTTAAAACGCCATTTTACCACAAACTAAACCATCTTTGTAATAAAAGAAAAGCAATATGCACAGATGGAATTCCTGCTATACCTAATTATGACAAATCTACTTTACTTTGTACTATATGATACTTTGTGTTATCACAATGTATGATATTATCAACACAGCAATTACAACAGCACTTGCCAGATTAAGACTGTAATGTGGTATTCCAACATGGAGTTATCAGAATGCAGGACAAAGAAGAGCAACAAAAAAAAATAGAAGCCAAGCAAACTAATGATAAAAGTAACACAGAGAAATGAGGACAAGACTGTATATCTCTAGCATCTGGAAGCTACAACTACATCACATTAATAAAAAGCAATATGAGCAAATAAAACTGTCAAAACTCTAAATAACAGTTATTATGTCACAGCACCTTTTCCTAGGTCTTTAAAATTATTCAAAAAGCAATTTTTTCAACACAATAAAGAAAGACCGGGAGCCATAAAATCAATAGTGAGTCTGATGTTTTCAATAAATTTATCTAAAATCTTTGCAATACTTCCTGTGATTATCTCCCTATGAAATTACTAAAACCTTAACATAAATAGTTGAATATATCCTGTACCCAGACCTAGAAAAATCACTTGTAAACAACACCATCTCAATGAAATAACACTCTTGCAAGCCACCAAACAAATGTTTAAGAAAATTATCATAAAAGTATCTTAATAACATTATAAAACATCACATAAACACAGGAACTTTAGATGACACTGACGAGACTGGCAAATAAAGATGAAACAAAACTCAAGAAGGTATCATAAAAAAAAAACATGAAGGAAATGCCAAAGGCTGATTAAAAAAAAACAGTAAATGCAAACTATAAGCCATTTAATAAACGACCACAGTACAAAATCTGCCATTATACATCTGATGCTTGGCAGTAAGGACAAGGGCTCAATTAAACCATCTGCTAACAGAAATAAGCAACATGCAGAAAACTTATGAAGTTCAATATGAAGTTCTTAATTAAACAATGGATAATTATGAAAAAAAGCCCAACATCTATACTTTTATTCCTGAAATTAATGGACTGTGCCCTCCTTACTGTTTTATTTTATAAATTTATCTAAAATCTTTGCAATACTTCCTGTGGTTATCTCCCTATGAAATTACTAAAACCTTAACATAAATAGTTGAATATATCCTGTACCCAGACCTAGAAAAATCACTTGTAAACAACACCATCTCAATGAAATAACACTCTTGCAAGCCACCAAACAAATGTTTAAGAAAATTATCATAAAAGTATCTTAATAACATCTATAAAACATCACATAAACACAGGAACTTTAGATGACACTGACGAGACTGGCAAATAAAGATAAAACAAAACTCAAGAAGGTATCATAAAAAAAAAAAACATGAAGGAAATGCCAAAGGCTGATTAAAAAAAAAACAGTAAATGCAAACTATAAGCCATTTAATAAACGACCACAGTACAAAATCTGCCATTATACATCTGATGCTTGGCAGTAAGGGCAAGGGCTCAATTAAACCATCTGCTAACAGAAATAAGCAACATGCAGAAAACTTATGAAGTTCAATATGGGTGTAAACCACTTCTTAATTAAACAATGGATAATTATGAAAAAAAGCCCAACATCTATACTTTTATTCCTGAATTTAATGGACTGTGCCCTCCTTACTGTTTCATTTTATCCCTGTGGGGTACCTTACTAATTTCCAGGGTACAAAAAGGCAAAACTAAATGGAAAAATCAAAATATTTGAAACTAGTTAGGAAAGTCTATCACTTATATACTCATTATAAAAAGTAATAAAAATAATCAGTACACCACAACAAATTCACATAAAAACAAACCCAAACAGTTATACAGATAAACAAAAATTCAACTACATCTTCCAAGTCATAATTTTTAAATTTGAAATTCTTATATATCATGAATCATGATACCTAATTTATTTTACTGAACACCTTTCACCATTCAGAATTAATCAAATGTATTTCTTTGATAGCTTACATCATATAAGGAACTGTTGCTTCTTTGTAGAAAGGTCAAGACAGACATTCATTATAGCTGACAAAAATATACAAATATACTGTGCTGCATTAGACATATAAATTTCACGTCTGAACAATCTTCTTTGTATTACTATACATATACTTTTTAAAATTAAGAACAACTCTCACTGGTTCTATATTTTCACTTGGGTTCTGGTTTTCCTGGGCCCCTTTTCCTTTCTTCTTTCCACCTGATAGTTTTTTTAACGAATCTTTAGTTTTATCTTGCAAACCATCAGTCACTCTGACTTTTATCTTACCACCTTGTCCAAAAGTCCCTTCAATCACACCATCTTCCCCAGTCGAGAACTTTACCTTAAGACCAATGAACAGCTGGCTATTTGTGTCTTTCTTCAACAGATTTTTGACAATGACTTCATACTCATTTGTCATTCTCTCTACAATACCTTCTTTACTTTTGTTTTTGTATACTTTTACTTTTTCGAGTTGGGTGTCATGATAGTTCTTGTCAGTGAAGATTTCAAGGGGTTTCCCTTTGAAAGCAAGGCGACACAACTTTGTGTTGACGTCCAAGTCCAGCTTAGAACCAATTAGCATTGAATTAGGTGTTATCTGAATTGGTCTTTCAAATTCTATGACAGCAAATTGATGCTGTGGTTTGTAAGTAGCTTCCTGATCAAGAGATTTTAGAGGTATTAACTCACTTTGATGTTTGTAATTAAGATCATACAAAAATCCATCTTTTGTTTCAAGTTTATCTTCAGTTCCAAAGAACGAAACTTTAGCTAAAACTGTCTCATGACCAATACTAATGTGAAACTTGGCTTTTGTCTCAATGGAAAGTTTATAATAATTGATTTTCTCTACTTCAGCAAGAACACCATATGCAGTTTGGATGAGCCCTGGTGTACCAACTACCCCTCTTTCTAGCTGTTTTGGGTCAAACTGTGTCACACATATTCCAACTCTGTCTCCTTGTATTGCTTTCTCAACAGGTTTTCTGAACATCTGCATTGATTTAACCTTTTTTGTGATCTTGAGACTTGGAATTTCAATATTATCATTTATGGCAACAGCTCCCTGAAGTACTGTACCAGTGAGGACTGTCCCTTGGCCTCTTATGCTAAAGCAGTGGTCTACTGCAAAAATAAAAGGTCCAACTGCATCTCTCTTAGGAACATAAGAAAATGCAGTTAGTGATTCAATAAGTTCCTTTACACCAACTGGTTCTACATCAGGTGCTTCCGGCCCACCAGGCTTTGCTGCTACTGCGATCACTTTAGCATTGGCAAATTTAGTCTGCTGGAGAGTTAGCAAGATTTTCTTTGTCATCTTCTCAATGCCAGCCTTCTGTTTTTCTGCAGGCAATAAATCAACTTTATTTAATACAACAAGCAAGTGATCACACAAAATCTCACCAATAACAAGGCATTCTGCTGTTTGGGTCTGCATGCCTTTCGTGACATCCACAACCAACATCATTGCATCAATAATCTGTGCCCCACCAATAATGGTCCTGATGAGAGATGCATGCCCTGGACAGTCAACCAATGTGAACTGAGTCTTTTCGTAGCCAGCATCCCTAATGCTGTCTGAGGCATCAACGAGAAATGAGCTGAACCCAAGATCAATGGTAATTCCTCTCTCCTTCGACTGAGGGTTCTTGTCAAAACAGGCAGTGCTGGCTACAGTACTAAGGGCTTTGGCTAAGGATGTTTTGCCACTGTCGACATGTCCCAGCACACCTACGTTGAAGTTCAAAATTTTGTTGCTCATCTTGTAGTTTTAAAACAGAGCCTGTAAATGATAATATTTTATTAGGAAAAATTAATAGTTAATAATGTACTAAGTAAATCTCCTTGAATCCTAATTCTTAAAGAAAGAAAAACTATAATAAAAACCATACTTCTACTGTAAATATCATGAACAAATTTAATAATGAATTCTTGCTACTTGATTTCAATAATGGAACACTAAACTGATACTGCTTGAATCTGAAATCAGATATACACATTACATCTATTCCACTTACTCATTCCATTCCACAAAGAGATACTAGGCACACAGATTATGGAAGATAAAATTATATATTTCATCTCAGACTCAATAAATAACTTGCTAAAATGCCATCCAATCCATTTATAATATTACTAATTTGGTCATCATAATTATATGGCTACCAGATACAATATGGATTAAAATATTTTCAAGTCAAGACTATTATACATTCTACAATACATCACTATTGTTAAATAATATTAGTTATCATGGGAAAATCTTGCTAAAAGACAATTACCATAGATAATAATATCCTAATAAATATGCAATACACTCGGCCTTACTTATTTCGAAATAGTTTGTTGCTTCAAGACCTTGAATGGCTAAATTTTCCAAGTCATGATTACATAAAAAGTCTGAATTGACAAAAGGCTTGTTATGTCATATTACCTCAAACTTATTAAACATGAATTATGTCATTTTCAATTTACGTTCAGCTGAACCAAAAAAAAATCCTAAATCAACCAGCTGTCAATTTAAATACCTGTTAATTGTCATTTTCCGACCCATATAATCAAGTCCCAAATGCAAAACAGATGCATGTCACACTTAACAAACACCCAAGACCTGACATAAACGTTATCATCTCTTATCATAACCCTTCATATAATCACCTCACGCAGAAATATCACCAATATTACCTATCAAAAGAGGAACGAACTCCTCCATCCGCAAGCAAGGGTCGCGTCCGGTGTTTACCTGTGACGTCATAACTCAGGGCCTACATCTTTTATTTTATTAATAGTCCTGAAAACATATAATTTAATGTTTTTTATATTTAAATTTAATAATTGGTATCGTTTAATATTTTTATAATTGTCTTTACGTGGTAATTTTGTTTCGAAGGAGATGGGAAGAAATGCCATAGATTTCAAAGATGTATTCGGGACGCGGGATCATGTAAACAAACACACGTGCGAGTTCAGAACATGTAATCTCTGTACAAACTGACACATTAGAAAGTTATAAGGACAGACAGCTACAGTACATTTCTGAAGGTGACATTTACAGGCCAGAATGCCTCCCAAACCAAGACAGAAGGTAAGCTTAGCCTTTTTTTAAGTTTCATTTTTTAGTGTTTATCATCTCATTTTCTCTTCTGTTTATCAGTTCAAATATTTTCTAAATATTTTCTTTCGGAGATTCAATAAATTCGACTCAGTTGCTTGCAGTTGGATAAAGCTGTAATAGATTGATTTTCAGGTATGGAAGATTTGGGAAGAAAGAAAATCCAACACGATGTCATTAATAAATGGTGCGGTATTTGTTACCGAGACCGACACGCCATCCAAAGTACCAAATCCAGGATAACATGTGAACCTAAAATCCAAACCTAACTTTTCCTACCTTCTATTTACTTCCTAGACAGGGGGTACAGGGAAGAAAACCACTGGTACCCCCATTAATTAATACTTCTTGCAAATTTACTAAAGACGCGACATTTGAGAACTGTGCCTGTGTGAGGGTGTTGTGGACTTTAAGTAGGGACATGCAGAGGATATTTTCATAATTTCCTGGTAAGTATGAGGCTGCTGCGGATATACCTGTATTGCTTCCTACTCTTATTTTTTATGCTCTGTAAGATGGCAATGTGTTTTCCCTCTATCTCCGTGCATCATTCTTGGTAACATTAACTGGTGATGCTATCCTCCCTCCCTTTTGACAAGTGAGGCAGGCTATGGATCTTGTGGTGGGATCAGAATTACCAGGACATGACTAGGAAGTGGAAGTTACCCAACCTGGTAACCTCCACTTGTAGCCTTTGGGTAATTCATAAGTAGGACAGCCACACCCATCTGGTCTGCAGAGTATGGCACTTTTCGATGGGATCTCCAGTGTGCAAAGGCAAAACACTTGGTGTGCCAGTGTGCACCACCAGACATTCTGGTGTGCTAGTGTGCACTGGTGAATTTCCTTAGAACCAACATTTCACTAATGCAAAGGAGCATTCCTTGACTTTTTTCTTCTTTCAATTCATCTGGGTCATTCAGATACAGACACTATACAAGTCCTAGAGAGTTTGAAATGACCTGTGTGCATTAACATGTTGCCATGGCATTGTAAATGCCAGACCTCATGGCACTATCACCCCCAAGACAGTTCAGTTGGTAAGTGACAATCAGGACCTTGAACAATTCAGTGCTTTTCCTCAGGATCAAATGGTCCGGCTTTTCTATGCCTATTAACCCACTTTATTTGCTTATTTGTGTCGTCGTGGCATTATCTGTGATGTTATAATCAACCTTTTACAACAGATAAATGATTCTGTGTTAATATGTTTGGTAGGTGATGTAATTGCTATATTAGTATGCAATACGATTCTCTTATATAGGTTATATAATGGCTATATAATATGAGCAATGCAACATTTAATGTCATGTTGTGTTCCATGTTGTAATCAGAACCCAGTCTTATTGAGTCAAAACTACTAGTGTGTTTCTTGTTTTTTTTCCTCCTCCTGTCCCATTTAATCTTGGGGTCCCCATGGTAGGTACATGTATGTGGCTCAGATTTCTGCCATTACCTGTGCTCCAGTCTTGGCCATGCGCCTCAGAAGTCTCCCTGAAAAAAAAATATATTTTAGGGGCTTTTTGTAATATATTCTCAGGGGCGTTTATTCAAATTATGTCATTGGACAATTGAACTTCAGCCTTGTTTTCAAATTTTTCAAGTCTGTGCAGTCGTTGTCAGCCACACGAATTGAAGACAAAAAATTTCCATCTTCTTTTGTAAGGAATCCTACACAAGGTAATAAAAAGGTGAAAGTGAAAAACATGAAAAAAATGAGCCAAATTTCAGATGAAAAAATAATGAAAGGAAGTTGAAAAAACAAGAGGAAATTAAGATTAAAATTGTAAAGGTTACAAATAATAAATGTGCAAATTTTTGTTCACCCACTGTTCCAAGATATACCATGCCAAAATGAAGCTGAAATTTTATAAAGATCACTGTACAAATAAAGCATACCTTCCTAACCCCTTACTGGGGGCAAGCCCCTGGTCCCTTTCCCAGGGTATTTCCCTACCAGGGACAAGTTCTCACAAACAGGAAATGATGCAGTAGTGTGTGCCGTCTTAGTTTGTTTCTGCCCTTTGTCCTCTTCTGCCTGGGGTAATTTTGGAGGGACTGGCAGAGGTGTATGTACCCTGATTCTGTATTCAGAATTTCCCATACAATAAGTTGGACAAGATGGATGAGATGTTCATCTTGTCCGTCTTGCCCACCTTTGCAGCTGGCTAAGCAGGACAAGGTGATGTCACCTTAACATTTGTATAAAAACAATGACAACCATAAACAACCATATGATAGTAGTAGGTAGTTATCATTTTAGTTATAAACCTAAGCTGTATATAAAATAAAGACACAAGTACAATAAGATAATGAATGTTCGGAGCTGGTTGCATTATGGTTAATGAAGGCCTTGGAGGGTTCCAAATGCAGTCTTGTTGTCCTGCTGATCCTGACAAGTTGCCTGGACAAGCTAGACAAGGACAGGCCATCTATGACCGTTTCACAACCTGATGTACTCTATAGTACTGTGGAATATCTTCAAACATAAAATGCTTGATGCAGCTCAGGAACCTGTTTGTTACCATCCAAGAGCAAGGTAGAATTTTGTCTCACAGGAGACACTGGAAGCCATTGGTGGGTGGCAAGTCCACAATAGATCATATCCTTGTACTTTGAGACTAAGTGGGATTCAGTCATGGTATGCTAGCAACCTACATTGACCTCAACAAAGTATTTAACCCAAAGGATCGAGAATCCATCAGTGTGGAGCAACACTAGGTAATATCCTCTTACAGCCGGGCACACCTCTAGTCATCATGAAAAACCAACTGATCACGACACGCTATAGTGAGTAGAGGGAAATTCCACTGTAGTGGACTCCCTGGTCAAAGGGCTGAATGGTTGCCAGAAGTCACTGGAATGAATGACACCCAGAGATTTCTGGTATCATCATTTTAGGGCTATAAAGTCATTGACCTTCACTTTGCTGAAGATGTTGCAATCCAACATGTGTCTCTGGAAACCCTGGTGGCAGCTTTTGACGCATTTAGCAGTGAGCCAAAATCTTTAGGGCTAGAGGTCTCTTGGACCAAGACCAAGATCCAAGCTGGTATGTGCTTGCAGTGAGAATATGGAAGTCACACAGAGCCATGACTTGGCTGTCAGACCAGGAAATCAGCAGATGGCTTTACTTGGGAAAAGGAGCCATGAACATGTATGACAAGTATTGGAGATGCTGATACCTGCAGAGGAGGACAAAGTTATGTGTCTTCAAGATCTTGCTTTATGGAAGCAAAACTTGGATACTCTTTCATGCCTTGGAGTCTCATTTTGGTTTTCGCAACAGCCCTAAGCACCGGATCATGGGGTACAGTTGACAGGACCATGTCCAAACAACAGTTCCACTGAGACCAGTTTAAGACCTGTTTCTTGTACTATCCAGCACTTCTGACCCAGGCCTGTAGATGTCCTAAGAAGTTGTAGCTTGAGCAGATTAATTAGAACTCATGAGTTAGAGATGAGTTGTGGACCTGTTTGGTGGCTTGCCAAGAGGAACCCTTATGGATGATCCTTGGTATTAGCCCCAGTGATTGAATCAAGTGGCACTGTCTTGTGTTTATCATGACCCCCATGCATTGCATTCCAGCTGAGGTCAACAGTGTTTTCTAATAATATTCTGGCAAGACTGAGCTGAAACTAGTTCCTTGCTTGATAATGAGTTAATTGGGAGGTCATCAATAATTCTTAGGAGACATAAATACACTGACAGCATCTAGTGCTATGTGTGATATTTGACTTTGAGGCATTTTGGTATATAGAGCTGAAGCAAGATGCATTTGACATGTTGATTGTATTTTTTGGTTTGGTTTGGTTTGTTCATAAGGTTGTGGGTATATATATATTTTTTTTTACCCACAAGTATCAAGTCATATATATACTAGATATATATTGCTGTATTAGTTATCTTCACAGAATTAAATCTTGTCCTTACTAGTAATCTAAAGAAACCACACTAACCAAAATATATATAGAATCTGTTATTTTATTTTTATTTTTTATTTTTCCCAAGGGAAAAAATCTTTTTGATACGTACTATATAGATTGTAATTTTTGCAGCCATTTTAAGTTATAAATCTGGATCTTGATACCAAAGGTATCCTGTTTGTGTAAATTAAGGTTACTGAGGAAGAATCTAAATAGAGCCTTTTAATGGAGATTTGATTTTTTTTCACTCCATCATAGGAATCCTAAAATATAACAAGGGGATGGGAAGTTGATTGACAAAGAAAAACTAGATTAATAAGTGAAACATCAATTAACCAGATATTCAGAAAATTTGTTTTTTGACCTTTTGTTAAGATTCATTTATTTTTAAGAGTCATTTATGATCAGTACAGTCAGTTGTATCATTAAGGATGGACATCCCTAGCTTTAGTCCAGAAATTTTGCCAAATTCCCTGAATATCAATTTTAAAAGATGAAGCCAGGAGGCACATATTCTGAATGGCAATCGAGACCTGTCCGGAACCTTATGTCAAATGCACTGTCTTAAATTTTACCAAGATAACTTGAAAAGGGTGCAGTTAATGTTGAAGATTTAAAAGCTTGGACTGAGCCCATAGTGTTTCAACAACTTAACATTCTTCTACGTATAATAGTTGCATATTTTTATAGTGTATAGTAGATTAGTTTTAAATATAGATATACATGGACAGTAGGTGCAAAAATTATGATATAAGGGTAAACATTAATTGATGTGAGAATATTTTTTTTATTGAATGTATCCCAGACTGTGTAGTTGTTCAGACTGGAAATCAAATAACTAGTAGCATTATTAATTATTCGTATTTAGAATGGATTTCTTTTTCAAGCATATATAGGAATGTTCTCTTTGTGCTCAGCTTCATTTAATATGTAATACAAATCTACAAAAGGAAGGGCAGGAATGATCCAGACAAATAGCCTTCATTTTGCCATGTAGTATAAAAGCAATAGCATTAGCTAGGAGAAACAGGGCATGGACTCAGAGAATAGTAAATTGGGAAGCACTGCAGTGCCCTCCAGGGTCATGACAAGACACCTATGACCATCTCCTTAACCCAACGTCAGCTGGCAATAGTGTATCAGTTGGCCCTAGTGACTGATCCTAATTTTCCCATTTCTTGAAATGGCGGGAAAATGCGTTTTTCTTTCCTGTATTATCGATATTGACATTGTTATCATTCTTATTGATATTATGAGTATTAAATTGTTATTTAAATATTAATAACATCAAAAACAATAAAATAATAGAAGTGAATCTTTCAAAAAGTGATGGAAAAAGGTAAACAGATGAGATAGGTAGGACTAATAGCTGACTCCTTGGTGACTAAGCACTTGTAGAGCCATCTGTGTGTAAAGACAATATATAAAACCTTTATTACAGTGGGCATAGCATTGTAGTCTTGCCACCCGTGCTAATTGGGTTAAAGATCATCCCAAACCTCAGTCTTCAAATGAGCTTGGCCTGATGGCACATTAAGATGGTAATAATGTACTATAATGGTAGAAAAACCCACAATGTAAAAACTAGATTTATTGAAAATGAGACAACAGTTTCGGAATCCACCTGGATTCCTTTTCCTCTTCAGACCTGAGGATGGAATCCAGGTGGATTCCGAAACTATTGTCTCATTTTCAATAAATCTAGTTTTTAAATTGTGGGTTTTTCTACCATAGTATCAACACGGTAGAGTGTTTTCATCATTCAATGTACTATAATATATAATATACATATATCCCTTGTGTAGCATGCCTTGATGAATCAAGAAAGAGAACCTGTTCTTCCTTTTGCTTTGTTTACAAGTTTTTCAGCATGAATCTACCTCAAGGAAATTAAAATACAGCAATTTAGGAACTAGCAGGTTTCAGTAATTGTTTTTGGACTGTTGTACCATACTGGTATCACATGTATACCAAAAATCAAACCTTAATTTTTAAATCTTTATTTCAGGTTAGAAAGGGCCCACCTCCCAAGGTTGTGGCTAAACCAAGCCCTCAGGAAGACACAGATGAAGCCGCAGCACTAGAGAAATTTGCACTCGAGTTAAGATGGTGTTTGCAGCAGATAGAACTCAGCATGGAGAAGAAGCAGGGAAATTCCAAACAAAGTAAGATGGAAGATCATATAATGTGCTATGGGGATGAATAGATGTATTTTATTCAAACTTTTTGCAAGTTGTTGCATATTGGTTTCATGTGTTGTCCTTACACCCTGCTGGATCTCTCTTGTATACTAGAGTTATTTTTATTTTTGTGCAAGACATTAATGGAACTGTTGTAATTATTTTTGGGAATGAATGAAAGAAAGAATATCCATTATTTTTGTTATGAATATTAAATTATACTGTATTGATGTATAATTTATTTATTTTAGTACATTTGCATTATTTATTTATATATTTTTTCGTCTTTATGTGACCCTCTGATTGCAATGCACATTTTTAAGAACCCATGTGATCCTAGACATTTTTTTTTTTTTTTTTTTTTTTTCTACTGATTGCTTGCTTGTAACACTTACAAGAACTATGGAATCATCAAAGTATTATTCTCTCTCTCTCTCACTCTCTCTCTCTCTCTCTCTCTCTCTCTCTCTCTCTCTCTCTCTCTCTCTCAGTATGGCTTATCGAAAAAATATTGGAATTCAAACAAAATTATTAAATCTACAGAAGGCACTAAATAAGACAAAATTTGATGTTTAACCCATTGCCGCCAGGGATGGCATGTACGTACATGCCATGCCCACTGTGAGTCGACTTGTTCGATTGTTTTTACACATAGATGGCTACACTTGTACTAAGTATCCAATGAGCCAATTACAGTACTGCCTGTCTCACCCGTTCACCCTTTTCATCGATTTACGAAAATATTTAATGTTATCCTAATTTGCTATTAAAAATAACACCATCTATATTTATAGCACTAGTAAAAGTACGTTTTTTCCCGCCAATTCAAGGAAAGGTGAAATCAGGACTAGCAGAGCCATCCTTGGCCAGAGATATTTCACAAAAATATAAAAATGAGTACTGCATTTCCCCCATTTTTTGTTCATTTTCCCCGGCGGCAATGGGTTAAAAACCCAAAGTATAGGCTGAGATTGACTAAAAACTTACTTTTTTATCATGAGTTGTTCTACTGTCAATAATAGGTTTTTATGAATTTTGTTGCACTGATAATCCCACAAGTGCTCAGCCACCAAGGAGACAATTAGAAGGTATTAACCCAAATCCAACAGGCATCTACATTTTTAGTTTGCTCTTATACTCATCTCTTTTATTTAATCTGATTTTTACCCTTTCCCTTATACTTCAGCTTTTACATTAACATTTCTAAACTTACAAATTAATCTATTGTCTCATCAAGTATGTTGTCACAAAGAAGTCAACTGCTAATACAAACTATCTCACATGTGTGCCTTTTTACATTTTTCCTTGATTTTGGATATATTTTCTTTCATCTTACATTGCTTTTTGTAATGTAAATGACATGGCATATATGTACATGCCATGCCTACTGTGAGTTTAGTTTATTAATTGTTTTTACACATAGATGGCTACACTTGTTCTAAGTCACCAATAACCCAATTACGAGTACTGCCTGTCTCACCTGTTTGCCCTTTTCCTTGATTGTCAAAACAGATGGCTCTACAAAAATTCTGCCAAAAAGGAGTCAGTTCACCTGATCTGACCTTTCCTCGAGTTGTTTTTTTTTCTTTCTCTTTTTTTATGT